TACCAAGCTGCTCTTCCCGGGCTGATCCCTTTGGGCACACCTGAGGGTGACACCTAAGGCCCACTCCAACCTGAGGAACACTAACATCCCACTTCTGCCCATACTGGGTCCCTTTGTCCTTGCTGCCCCTGTTTCCTCCTGTCCCTCTCTTTCTGGTGTCACTACCCCTGCATCTCTTGCTTCACCCATGGGGGCAGGGCCCTGTTGTGCCCACAGCTCTGGCACCACTGCGAGAGAGGAAAATCCTCAGCCTCCCAGCTCCGCAGGCAGCCAGACTTGCTGCTGTGGTTATAAACAACTGGCTTTAATTGCTCTCAGTTGTTGAAAGTAAATTCAGCTCATCACCAATAGGAATATCACAAGATTTTATATTAAAAAATAGAAATGGTAAGGATTTGAAATGTTAGTGGATTTAAACATACAAATCTGAAAGTTGTAATGTCTTTCCTGACAGACTTTTAGCCTTTTTAGCAAGTGAGTTTTTCTCCTTGAACTTCATTTGCTCTGAGCTGCCTTTGATAGAGTTTGTACTGTGCTTAAAAATATCAAACTGCTGTCTAACAACCCAAGGATTCACTGCGTAATTCCAGACACCTTGAGACAGCCTTGTGGATTGTAGTCAAGTTCCACCAAAGGCTACAGCCTGGACACAGGTTAGAGTGAACAGTTGTGCCTACTGCCAGGAACACTTGTGGGCCGGCTTCTGGAACTTTCCATGGTGGTTTTCAATATCATCCCCAGAATCATCAAACCCTTGACTTTGATCTGATTCTGGTGGAACTTGTGACAAGTTTTTAAAAAAATGAAATCTTATTACTTTCAAATAAGGACAACTTCATAGCTGATAGCTGATAGTGAACTTCTAACCAGAAATTTTATCTTAAGATCTCCTTTCCATAGTAACTGAACACATACCACATACGTTCGTTGCTTTCAGGATGATTGTGAACACGATTGAAGAGTGTACTTTCTTGAGTTGGTTAAACATTACTTCCTGCTGTTTCATTTTTAATTTCTTTAGCAAGCTCCTGTTGCCACACTGGAAACTTCTAGAAAGAAATGTCCTTGAGGGAGGGATAAAGGTAACTACGAGTCAGAGATAGAGTGAAGTGTGTAGGGGAGTTTATGGAAGATGGTATGGGTGGCCAGGAGAACTGGACCTTAGCCACATGTGCCAGTTGTCATGGCCCTAGTACATTTTTTTGGGGGGACACCACACATTCTCTCATTCAACATATAGGGTAAAGGGCTCAGTGACGTCACTGTGATAGATAAATCTTCTGTAGGGATGACAGTGATGATGGTGGTGAAGGTAGTGATGGCAGTGGTGATGGTGATGATGGTACAGGCTAAAGAGTGGTGGTGGTGGTCATGGTGGTGGTGATCATGGCAGTGGCAGTGGTGATGGTAGTGGTGATGTAGTAATGGTGGTGGTGATGGTGGTAGTGGTTTTGGTGGTGGTGGTAGTGATGGGGTGGTGGTGGTGATGGTGGTGATGATAGTAATGGTGGTAATGGTGGTGGTGGTAATGGTGATAATAATGGTGATAATGGTGGTGGTGATGGTCATGGTGATGGTCATAGTGGTGGTGGTGATGGTAGTGGTGATGTGGTTGTGGTGGTAGTGATGGTGATGGTGGGTATGGTGGTGATGATAGTAATGGTGGTAATGGTGGTGGTGGTGATGATGATAATAATGGTGGTAATGGTGGTGGTGATGGTGGTGGTGGTGGTGATGGTGATAATTGTTTTGGTAGTGGTGGTGGTAGTGATGGTGATGGTGGGTATGGTGGTGATGGTGGTGATGATAGTAATGGTGGTAATGGTGGTGGTAGTGATGATGATAATAATGGTGGTAATGGTGGTAGTCATGGTGGTGGTGATGTGGTGGTGATGGTGATGATCATGGTGGTGGTCATGGTGGTAGTGGTGATGTGGTGATGGTGATGATCATGGTGGTAGTGGTGGTGGTGGTGGTAGTGGTGATGTGGTGGTGGTGATGGTGGTAGTGGTTTTGGTGGTGGTGGTGGTAGTGATGGTGATGGTGGGTATGGTGGTGATGATAGTAATGCTGGTAATGGTGGTGGTGGTGATGGTGATAATAATGGTGGTAATGATGGTGGTGATGGTGGTGGTGATGGTGATGGTGGTAATGGTGGTGGTGGCGGTAGTGGTGATGTGGTGGTGGTGGTGGTGAGTGATGGTGATGGTGGGTATGGTGAGAGTGGTGATAGTAATGATTGTGATGGTGGTAATGGTGATGGTGATCGTGATAATGGTGGTGGTGATGGTGATGATGGGGGTAGAAATAATAATGGTGATGTGTGGTGGTGGTAGTTTGGAAGAAGCAGGACAGATGTCCCTGGCTCTTTGCTCTTCACCTTTCTTTGCCCCCCTCCCCTCTTGAAGTCACATGGTATCTGGAGTCACATCAGCTGTCTTGAAGCCATGAGGCAGCTCCTGTGACAATAAAAAATGATTAACTAAATAAGAGAGGCTAAGTGGAGGGACAAGAGCCTGGTCTCTAGAAGCAACAGGTGTACAGTTGAACCCATGCCAACAGAAGCTTCCCTCTCAACCTATCCTTTATTGAGAAAATAATCTCTGCTTATTTTGTCCACTGTTGGTCATCTGGATTTTCTGTTACTTGTAGACAATACTAATAAAGGAAAGTGAGAAATGCTTGATGACATCACACATAGCTATCGATGTTTTTGTCTGATCACCCACTTCTCTTTTATTAACATGATAGTCACTTCTTTTTTTATTATTTGCATTTTTTTTTTTTTTTGAGACAGAGTCTCACTATGTCATCCTTGGTAGCATGCCATGGCATCACAGCTCACAGCAATCTCAAACTCCTGGGCTCAAGTGATTCTCTTGCCTCAGTCTCCCAAGTAGCTGGGACTACAGGCACCCGCAACAATGTCTGGCTGTTTTTTGTTGCAGTCGTCATTGTTCTTTAGCTGGCCCAGGCTGGGTTTGAACCCACCAACTTCAGTGTATGTGGCTGGCACCATAACCACAGTGCTATGGGCACTGAGCCTATTTCCATTTCTTTATTCTCATGTTTAATGATTTTAAATATTTTTATAATACTTATCAGATAATATCCATTAAATGAAGTATTTATATGAAGGCCTACTTTTCTATCATTATTTCTTTGATCCTTACTTATGGTGACTCACTTCCTTTACTGTTTTGTAGGGTTTTTTGTTTGGTTAGTTTGTTTTTTGTTTGTTTTGTCATTTTTTTTTTTTTT